CCTGTAAGGCCCCCTCCTCAAGGATCTACCATGTCCCCAAACCATGCTTTAACACAGGTGACTTTGGAAAACCTTTAAAATCCATAGTAAAGACAGTTTAGAGGCAAAAGTCCCTCCCCTCAGCTGGGGTCACTCTTCTTCTCACTTTGTTTTTTCTTAAGGTCATTGACTAATTGGACCAGGCCTACCCACATGGTCGAGGGTCATCTAATTTTCTTAAATTCTACTAGTTTACGTGAATTTCTCATTTTAAGCAAAGACCACAGCAACATGGAGAGTAGTGTTTGATGCAATATCTTGTCACCATAACTCTGCCAAGTTGACTCATAAAATTAACCATTGTAACATGTTTTAGGAGTAGCACCAGTCCATTCTGACATTATCCTGGAAAGTGAGGGAAAACTGAAAATCTAGGATGATACCTATGTTTTTTGGCATGCAAATCTAGGTAGATATAGTATCGAGAAAAAGAAGACTGCCACCACACTTAAAGTTAAAATGGATTACAGATGAAAATTAGACATGTAAAAATAAAAGACCTGTAAGTGAAAATGCTTCAGAGAAGCAACACCATTCATGCACAGCCTTTTCTGCACCTTACATGGCTGATTAACACTCAGTTGATCAGTCAGTATGTGTTTGTTAGCCTGCTGTAGTGGTGAGTGCCTGCTGTAATCTCAGTACTCTGGGAGGCTGAGGCAGGAGGATTAAAAATTTGGGTCCAGCTTGGGCAATTTAATGAGGTGCTGTGTAAAAAACAAACAAACAAACAAACAAAAAACACACAAAAAAAATTAGGGGTATAGTTCAGTAGTAAAGGGCGACACACAGACACACACACACATAGTGTTTGCTGTTCCACAATATAATCAACACTGTTGAACTGTGAAGGGAAAGACGCATTTACTGTAAACAATGAGATGTCACCGGGCAAAGCTATCTGAAAAGTAGAAGACAAATCCGGAAGGGAAAACAGCAAGAGGAATAGCCAAAATGACAGATTTTTCAAAACTTATTACCTTTACAGAGGAGACTAAATTTAATTTTTATGTGGTAAATGACCTTAGTTAAAAAAAAAAACTTTAAAGAATTTCCTGTCTCTTGTGCTTCTTATGAGCAAAGCACTCTACTGTTGAAATTTTAATTTTATTGCCAAGCCAGAAAAGTCCTCATGTAGTCACACATGGGCATGGGTGGCAAGCAAATGAGGTCAAGGGAGGCAGAGTCCAGCTAGACAGGAGATTCAGTCAGGTATGGCATGTTCAGATGACAGATGTCAACCGCGGCGTCGCCAACAGAAGCAGGTGTGCTGGATCCAGGCTTTACTGCATCGCAATTCCAAGAAATCAAATGCGCACACATGAGTAACAGCTGAGGCAGCCAGGCGGCCTTTCAATGTAGCACAGACAAGGGAGCCAGGTAGAAAAGAGGGGCAGTTCTCTTAAAATGTAGCCCAGGGAGAGGAGCATGCTGGGAGAAAATAATATCTTCTGGCTGTGAGTCACTGTAAGCTTTAGGTCTGAGGGGTTGAGAACAGCAGACAGAGCCCAGCCCAGGAAAGAAGCTGTCAACACAGGAGGACCTTCCTTGTGACACTACTCTTGGGTCTGTATCACCGAAATGCTTGGGTTAAAAATAGGTTTATGCAGCCCCTCAAAGAATGCAATGCTACCAGCTCGTTTTGAAGGAACTCTGCAGGCTGTGAGTGGTGATATAGGTCTGTAATCACAGCATGTGGAGGGCTGAGGCAGGAGGACTGCTTTGAGTTTGAGGTCAGTTTAAGGCCAGTTTGGGATACGGAATGAAACCCTGTCTTAATAAACACAACAGGAAAAACATGCAAAGTCAGTAAAAAGAATTTGAGAAAACTCCAGAAGAAGTATATAATTTATGTGCATGTTGTAAAATTAAAAGAAATCAGACATCTCTTTTTTTTTTGTACTGCAAATCAAACTCAGGAGCTTGTGCTTGCTGGGCCACTGAGCTATATCCCTGGTCCTATTTCTGCATTCTTTAAAAAATAATAAAAAATATTGACATGAATTTCATTTTGATTTAAAGAAAAAAAAATGCTTACCAGGTTCTTTCTTCTTTCCCTTTCTGAGAGGAAGTCTCGTGTGGTCAGTTGACAGTTACGTCTTCCAATAAAAGCCATCCATATGTATTTACTACTATTGTCAGGTCCATTACAAGCACAAAAATTATTTTAAAAATTGTTCTTCTAAATGTCTCCAGTGACATAAAACTTACATTCATTTGCCCGTTTTTGAAAACTTCACAAATAATTATCAAATATGTTTTTGCATACTTTTGCTCTGCAGAGGTTAGATTGAGTTTGCCAATAAAATGAAAGCTAACTCACTATTAAAGACATTTTAGATACTGTCTTTTTATTTTATGAAAAAATTAAAAAAAACTCATAACAAAAAGATAAGAGAATATCAATGGTGAATACACTGCATCTTATCTCCAAAGTAGTTACTCAGAGTACAAGGCTGACCGAAAAGAATCTTACAAAAAAACAAAAAGATAACACAAAACTTTCTTTTCAATGAACTAAGACAACTAAGCTAGTTTAGATGAAACAAAGTGCATGTATATTAAGATAGTTTTGAAACAAGAGAATATACAATCTTGGGAAGTATGTGAACTTCTTCCTTCCTGTTTATCTTCTTTTGCTCTTTATTTCTCATGTAAGAGAATACACTGTTTAGGCTTGGGGATCCTATTTATTTCAATTGACAGTATGTTCTCAAGTTGTATCCATTTACCTACAAATACCTTCAGCTTCTCTTTCTTTACAGCACAGCAGCACTCCACTGTGTATAAATAGCATTTTTATGTCCATTCATCTGTTCATGAACATAAGCCCTGGTTTGCAAGACCTAGCTATTACTACACATGGATAGTTGTATGTCCCTATAATAAGATGATTTTAACTCTTTTGGCAAGATACTTTAAAGGGAGATAGCTGGGTCAAGTGGAATTTCCAGTTTCAGTTTTTTGAGGCGTCTCCACACGTATTTCCATAATGGTTGCTCTAGTTCTCATTCCCACCAACAGTGTAGAAGACCTTTCCCTGTGAATCTTTGTTATTTATTGTTGGGAGAGAAAAGTAAAACAAAATACAACAATGTGTCAGGACTTAGTAGCCCTGACCTGGGCTACTAAGAATATATTTCAAAAAACTTACAGGGCATAAAATGAAGATAAAGCTATCGAAAGTAAAAATATTTTTTAAATGTGAGAAAGTTATAAGTTCATAGGGCAATCAGCAGAATAATTACATGTAGGTTTCATCTTTCTGCCTCAGAAAGATTTCAGATATCTCACACTTCAAAATCCAGTTCTGCCCAATCTAAAATTGGGCATTTAAGATGAATACACACTTCTCAGATGAAGATATACAAATGGCAAATAAATACATAAAAAACATTCAGCAGCCATGATCTTTGAGAAATGCAAATTAAAACAACACCAAGATTCCATTTCACCTCAGGAAGAATAGCTGTCATAAAAAAAAATTAACTAATAACAAATGCTGAAGAGGCTGTGGGAAATAAAGAACCCTTCTCCACTGTTGGGGGGAATATAGACTGGTACAACATCTATGGAGATCAGTGTGGACATTCCTCTAAAAACTAGGATTAGATGTCCCATTCAAACCAGCTTTTCCCCTTTTGGGCATTTTCCCAGAAGAATTGCAAACATCATACCACAATGATATATGTGCGCCCATGTTTATAGCAGCACAATTTGTCATAGCTAAATCTTGGAAACAACCCAAATGACCCTCAACTGAGGAGTGGGTAAAAAAAGATGTGTTATTTTTATACAATGGAGCATTACTCAGTTATAAAGAAAGATAATAGGTAAATGGGTGCAAGTAGAGGCCATCCTCGTAAGTGAAATACATCAGACCCATATGTGTAAACATTGTATTGTCTCCCTAGTGTAAGAACCTGAAAGAGTAAATAAATGCTGAAAGGTGCAATAGATAGAGTAAGAGGGAAAGAAACTGAGTATAAGGAATAAACAATTGGGATGAGAGAAAGGAGAAAAGAAAGGAAAAAAGGAAGGCAAATGATCATGTGTGTATATATATACAGGATAGCTAAAATGATTGCACTACTACTTTCTATTTATTTATTTATTTGGTATGGGATTTCACTATGCAGCTTGGACTCATAGTGATTCTCCTGTCTCAGCCTCCCCAGCACTGGGATTACAGGCGGGCACCACAACACGCTCGGTTTGGGGTCAGTATGACTCATGTTACTGGGGAATCAAACCCAGGTCCTTGTGTTTGCCAGACAGGCACTTAGACTGCCGATCTATCTCCCCAGCTCCTCTATTGGTTTTTTTGAAGGTAATAGTTAATGCTTAAAATGTTTACTTTGACCAGTTCTTCATGTTTATATCTGTAATCTGAGCAACTACGTGGAAGACAATAATGTGTAATTGTTGAATGCCTATCATCTTGTTTCTTTTTAAAAATTGTGTATCATTTCTCATGTCTCATCTATTATTTTTCTATTCTCTTTAAAATAAATTAATAATAATAATAATAATAATAATAATAATAAAACAAAATCTCGTTCTGGGAAATTCATGTATTTAATTGTATAGCTTTCTATATTCAATCACCCAGTGTCTTTTCTCAGATTGATATTCTTCCCTTCTGTTAATTTCTTTTTATGTGCAGTTCACTGCATGTAAGGTGGACCTTTTCCCAAGGCTCTTCATAATGTCTAGGACTTCAGGCTGGTGTGAGAAGCAGCTACTGTGCTAACTTTGGCCGATCTGGCGGTTTAGTCCCTTCCCTCTGGCTTCCGGGTTGCCCCGGAAGAAAATAAGCCAGCTAGGTCCCGGTTGCCTCTCTCTCATTTCCAGTAATCCTAAATCTTTATGGAACTCGGAAGGAAGGAGATTGTTGACCTAGGCTATGTTTCTTGCTATGTGACTGCACTTACATCTGTTTTCTTTCTTCTTTTTAACAGACACAAGACAATTCTTAATCTATAATGAGGATCACAAGCGCTGCGTAGAAGCAATCAGCCCCACTGCAGTCCAGACGGCATCTTGCAACCAGGATGCCCAGGCACAGAAATTCCGATGGGTGTCCCCCGGCCAGGTCATGAGCATGGCTTTTAAATTATGCTTGGGGGTGCCATCAAAAACTGTTTGGGTTCCAATCACGCTTTATCCCTGCAACTCCAAAAGTGAACTTCAGAAATGGGAGTGCAAAAATGACACACTTTTTGGGATCAAGGGTGAAGAGCTATATTTTAATTATGGTAATAAACAAGAAAAGAATATTATGTTGTACAAGGGCTCTGGCTTATGGAGTCGGTGGAAGATCTATGGAACCACAGATGATTTGTGTTCCAGAGGTTACGAAGGTGAGAAACTTCGCTTTTTTTTTTTTTAAACTTTGTGTCCTATTTCTCTTTTTCTGAGTTATAATTTAAGAAAATAGTTGTGTTCCCTCATGGTCTGTGTTAGAAATGTTAACTGATGCTTTTCTTTGTACTTTGAGTTTTTCTATGTTCTAGAACGTGGCACTGAATAAATGTGACAAAAGTTCCTGAATAATATCTTAGCTACCTGTGTTAATATAACATTAGTTTGGAATTTCTGTATTTTTTTCAAATTGTTACAATTTTAAGAAAACCACTTTCACCTTTGAGTTACATCTTCCTCTTTAATCTTATAAAATTTATTGATAAATAAATCTAGCCAAACTACTTTTTTCTTTAAGCTTTGCTTAGACAAATGATCCTTAGAACAATATTCTTTATCAATTACAATTGTCTGTAATGAAATTTTGACAAATTCCCTGATAGTTTGGGTTTCTAAGTATTTCTGATTTATTTTATCACTCTTCGAGTAGTGAGAGAATCTAACAGCCAGATTAGAAAAACTGAGGAATCAGCTAATAAATTAACATACACCATATTTAGTTAAATGTCTCTGAAAATGGCAGCAGTGGTGTAATGGGAGATTATTGTATTGTGGTTGGCTTTTTGGACTTTTTTTTTTTTTAATGGAACCAGAGATTGAACTCAGGTCCTTGTGTTTGCCAGAAAAGTGCTTATTCTACTGAGCTATCTCCCCAGCCCTGAGCTCTTGATGGTTAAACAAAAACAATGTATTCAGTATTCTTCCATCCTGGCCAACTTTCATTTACTGCTGGCTATCCCCAAACAATATAAAAATAAAGGAACTTAAAGCTGTGGACAAAGGCTGGTCTTTTGAGTCAGAAGGTAGCAGCATCCCATTTCAAGTTTGGATACTTGATTATTGTTAAGTGTTATCTAAGACAACGTCATGGTCAGAGGCAGGGCCTGCTTTCTGGGACAACATAAATACATTTCCAAAATACTTTGTTACTGGGACTGCTAAGATGAGTTGAACCTAATTTATCCCAGCCAAGACAGAGCACAGGAATTCAGTTTTTTGTAGGCAGATAATTTGTTAGCTTTCCATTTGCAGGGACAGTCCAAATAGAAATTAAAGTAGGGTGAGAGTAAGGCTCAGAAAAGTCATTTGAAGTCACTTGTTGAACATAGTGCCAGAATTGGAAATTATAAGAGGCAGCTTGAGTAACACACCTTGTAGGAGAAAATCAATAGTAAATTAAAGGGCAAGACGATGGTAAATCGAACTTGACTGAGTCAACTTCCACAGATGGAGCAGTAGTGCTAATTGAAGAATCCAAGTCACTAAAGATTGTGACTAACACATCACTGGATTTGTTTTAAAATACAATACCTCAGCTCCTCATCTGCAATCCTCTCTGTTCTCCTGTATGTTGTGAGACAAATGTGTGCAGGGGTTAGGAGGGTGGCTGTCATCCTTCAGTATTCCTAAAAATCACTTGTTAAGAATGCAGATCCCTGCCCCCCATTCTGAATTAGCACAGGAGAGGAAAGGCCCAGGAGTGTTTTGAATCATTTTTATGAAGCACTGGGTGATACTAATGCAGATAGTATACTGCCCACCTGCTGCCTACTCTCCATTGACTTCCCAGTATTTAAAATACTCTTGCTGGAGGATCCGTACCCTCAGAATGTCCTTGAGAACCATGAAACAGAATATACATTAGAACTGTTGACAACGTGAGCAGTAGCTCTGCTTGATTCTGTAATTATTTTAGAATAATAAAATCAGAGTTCTAGACTTGGATACATTAGAGAGTCATCTGAAACTTTGAAGCACATGAGCAAGAGTAATTTGACTGCAGTTATATGATTTGATAGTGACATGGCTGGGCGGAACTCTATTCTTTCAGTCTTGTTAGTGCCTGGTGCATGGAGGGGATTGGTACTTATTAAACAAGCTGAGTTAATCCTGTAAGAGCCCTTTAGGCCTGATATCTGGGAACCCAGTGAGAAGTTTTCCTGACCAACTTAATGAACAATGCCACTAACTGCAGGGAGGTCTTTATAAGTTTTTTTCATAGAAGGGTACAGGTATCTTAGTGACCCAGAGTTGGCAGGGCTCTTTCAGAATGGAATACATAACATATGCAATTTATGGTTGGAAAGACTAGCCCTGTCAATTGGTGGAACTAATGATAGAAAACCATTTTAAAGTTATTAACAACTAGCTCCTGGATAATTTTGTCAGAGATAGGTGTTCCATTGCCATTCAAATCTTGTAGGTGTGTAAATTCAGCAAAATAATCCAATATAGTCCAATAGTCCATAATAGTAGTGGGTTATGCACAGAAATGGCAGTGTCAGAAGTTGTTGACTTGAGCCTTTTACAGCTCAGCATATTAATATGACTTTACTTTTTATACCTTGTTTTTATATTTTTCTGCTGCATGGTTAAGACCAACATAAAGCAAGACCTATATAACAAAAATGTAACTTTTATATCTGACAAAGTCAGTCAAATCCCCTCAGGATTTACCCTGAAATCCTGTACCGCAGTTTGTAGATCCTTTGTCAGTGTCAGCTATGTGGATGAGTCATGGCCATTGCTTAACCAATTTGCTCTCTATGAAAGCCTGAGAGAATGTTTTCTCTCTAGGTGACTCTCTTTAGACCTACTATACATCACTGATTGCTTTCCTTGTGGTCCCATAACCTCCTTGAACAGAAAATTTGGGACACCACTGAGTTATAAAAAACTAACTTTGAGATAATCAAAACTAAATCTAGGTAGGGTAAGTACAATGAGTAAAAGAAAAATGACAGAGGGAAGGAACTAACATTTCTTGTGTCCTTAATATATTCTAAATGTCTTAAAAGTTTTTAATAGTTCAATGACTAAGTGTCCTTAAAGAACTTTCTTAACTCATAAAATCTCTGAAATGTGATTAAGGATTTTTACCTAGGGTAAACATTGGAGGTCAACTAGTATCACAAAGTCAAGGTAAAGTGGGAAACCCTAGAAAGATAAAGAGTTCAAAGGTTCTGAAGAATGTATCTATGTGAGTGTTTGGAGTCAGTGGAAGTAACTAAGAGCTTCTCTAATCCTTTTGGTTTAAGCCAGACTACTGGCAGCAGTGGTTCTGATTGTGTGAGGTATAGTCCTATAATCCCAGGATTCTGGACAGGTGAGGCAAGAGGATAAGAAGGGTGAGCCCATGCTGAGCAGTTTGGCAAGTTTTTAAGAGCCTGCTCAAACAAACAAACAAACAGGGTTGGAGATAGGCTGCATGTCTTTAAAGTTATTTTCAACCTAATGCTTCAAGAATGCTATGGTTTTAACCAAGAGGAAGGCCTTCCCCCTGTTTCGGAGGAAATGCAGAAGTTAACACTGGAGTCAGTGGAAGTGACTGTTATTATTCTGTAAGAGGAAGGAAGAAAATCTGTTCCAACAGAAGTGGAAATGTAGTTCCTATGTAGTTCGCTGGAGGTGTCCAACAAAGACTGGAGTACAGGGGCCTCTCTTGTGCAGGTACACTAGCTATGATTAGAAGAGAAGTCCTATTCTTGCAGGAAAGCCAGTGTTCAGAACTATCACCCTGATTCTAATTGTAAATCCTTGTTTCTGTAGCCATTTACACACTCCTGGGCAATGCAAATGGAGCCCCCTGTGCCTTTCCATTCAAGTTTGAGAACAAGTGGTACGCAGACTGCACAAGTGCTGGCCGGTCAGATGGGTGGCTCTGGTGTGGAACCACCACAGACTACGATTCTAATAAGCTATTTGGATTTTGCCCTATGAAATGTAAGTAACCACCAAACAAGAGAAATCTGACACATTAGCTTTGGCTAGGGGGTGAGAAGATCTGGGTTTACCTGGAGTATTTTCTTCCCGAAGTTATTCACATGGATTAACCCACTGTTCCCTGCCATCACTCTTTACAGATATCGTCTTTCCCCTTTTAGAATGAATAAGATGGTTCATGTTGGCTGAAGACTAGAACACGAACTTCTCTCAGTTCTGGGTTCTTTGATGTGTATAAATGTATTTGTTTTTTGCAGGGTCTCACTATGCATCTCAGACTCATGCTGATCCTTCCGCTTTCAGCCTCCCCATCCCTGGGATTACAGGCATGTGCCACTACACTTGGACTCTGGCCAGCTCAGCATGCCTGAGGGCAGGGCCAGCACGGCATGTGATGCCAAGAATCAAACTGCAGTCCCTGTGCTTCTCTAAGCTTGCCTAAGCAGGTGCTTTAGTCTGCTGAGCTATCTTGCTGGCCCCTTGAGTTCTTGTTAAGATTACACTGTGCCCCAATTGTCCTTGTATCAAATGACCCCTCTGATTTTTACCAAATGTCAGTCACTTTCCAAGACTATAGTGGATACTACATATGGTGCAAAATCATACTCTATGCTGGAGATAGGTGCTCCATTCCTCGATGCTCCTAATGGGTTTAACCTTATCAAACCATGGGTCAAAAGCTGAAGACTAGAACACAAACTTCTGTCAGTTCTGGGTTCTTTGATGTGTATTTTTTTTTTTAATGTATTTGGTTGCTGCAGGGTCTCACTCTGCAGCTCAGACAAAGATTTAAGTTATGCCATCAATGTGGTTTGTTGGATAAGAGACATGACCAAGCTCCTGCACTTTGTGACCCTATAGTGAAAAGGACCCCTCATGGTGAAAATGATATTAATCCTGTCCTTCTTCAGCTTAATTTAAAAAGTGTATCATTTAATTTAACAGTTCTGAATCAATAGAATTGGACAATTTATGTGCATTTAGGTCTTTTAGAAATGCAAGTTGGAGTGTTAGTGGCATGAAATCACGTGAGCGGTATCACAGCTTGCAAATTCTTGGTTAAGAACCTGTAAAGAGACAGCGCAGCTGCTTTTAGGTGGGGTGGAGGAGGGCCTTCGCGCTGGGAGCCGGAGCTGGGCTAGGGAAAGAGGAAAGGGCGAATCCTTCGCTTCATTTTCCCCCTCGCACACACCCTTCCGCTGTCAGTTTCTCATTTCCTAAACGTCTTACCCTTTGACTCTTAAACTAGCTGCTTCAGATTAGATCAGAGCAGCTCCAGTTTCCTGGCAGGGGCGGGGGTGGGCACGCAGTGTGGTGCAGGATGCTTGTGGCTGCCACACTTACTACTCAATTTTGTCACCACCATTCCACACAGGAACTCACGTGCCAGGACAAAATTATCTTCATTTGTCAAATTGAAGCCAGGCTTCTAAGAACGGGATGGTCCTTACTTATTTATTGAGATTCGTCACCCCTAGTTATCCCACTGAGAGTAAATTTGATTTCTCGGGTCCACCAGCCATTATAATTGTCTGCCTTGAGCAGTCACTCTGCTCTGGATGAATGCCTGTAAAGGTGACAGGCTTTCAGTTAATTGTGACAGTCCTCTATGGTCTTGACGAGGACGTGCCGCTCCCCTGTCAACGTTTAGAGATTTGATTCCAATTAAAGGTTTATAGATGTCCAGTTTTTGCACAAGAAATCTTTTTGCTGAAAAACATAATGGAACGCTTCCCTACCTTTTTGTAAATTTAAGATAAAGTAGTACTTGTTTAGTGTCTGAAGCCCCATTCTCTTTCACTTAGTAGGAATGGTATTTTCTAAATCTATGAGGGAAAAAATATGTATTTCTTGGGTTTGAATATAGTATCTGCCATCTAAGCTGGGTGGATGTGTGATTTGGTGAATGGAATATGGATGACAAAAGGGTAAACTACTAATCACAAAACTCACAAGCTTGGAGATCTTTGATCATTTTCCTTCCAAAAAGGGGGAGCAGTATATATTGGAACAGAAGACTGAGTATATTCGTAGAATAATTATTTCCTATAGTCCCTTAATTATTTATGTGTAATTTATTAGCGTACATTTTTGTAGTAGCGGAATGATTTTTAATCTTACTACTTCTAAGTTAGGCCTTCAAAACCAAATTATACACTTTTCTCTGTTAAATATAAAAGCAAACTAACTGTAAAAAATTAAAGCATTGGCTGATTTCACATTTAAATTAAAGCACAGTTTACAAATTTCATGCCAAAAAGGCTTTGAAATTTCACAGTGTCTTTCATTTTATGTTCCTTTCAAAAGAAGATTTTATTTTATGTTAGCCTAAAATCAGTAGGTTCAAGAGAGGAAAATGATGTACATGTTATTGAGCCTAAGTATGTGCTTGTTATTGTCGTTGGGATTGTTTATTATCATGTTTTCCTTCTATTTAGACATTTAAAATATCATGAGAACAGGAAGAGGAAAAGACCCGGCTTTCAGTTTCCTATAGCTTGCAACTTTAGCTTTCAACATGAGTTGTGTGGTTTACGGTAGACGCTGGAACCCTAGGAGTGATTTACGGTAGACACTGGAACCCTAGGAGTGATTTTCAGTCAGGAAACTTACAGATTCTTTGAGAGAGATGTTTTAATTCCTTGATTTAAAATGCAAAATATATTTTCTTTAAACAAAGAGTCAATTGAATAAAACTTTATTTATATCCCTTTCATCTATTTCTGGAGAAGGAAAATAATTCTTTTATAAATCTCTTACATTTTCTACTATATTATAAACAAAACTTCTGAATTTCTAAAAGATACTTGCTTAAACCATCTTATACTTCAGATATATCCCAAATAAGTCTCAGGTTGATGGTCTCACTTACAATGACATCAAACTTATGAAGTCTCAGGAAAATTTAAGTTTAACATTACTAATTGAAATTCATTTTTATATAACATATAATGACTTTATAATTATTTTAGGGCTGGAGATGTAGAATGCTTGCTTAGTGTGGTTTGATCTGAGCATCCTAGAGACACAAAAATTATCAATATTTATGCTGTTGTCAGAATCACATTCTAATGTACTTTTCTTCCTTTTTGATACACACATACCACAAATTTCCTATCACAGGGTGTGGTCATGTGTAGGACATAAAAGTCTATGGTCATCAGATGCAAAACACAGTTGAGTCCCGAGTTAGGAAGCCCAACAGCATGGGGTGTGTGCTTAGAGAAAACTGAATTTCTCAGCCAGTTGAGTATTTCTCAGGGATTTTGAGAAATTGCATAATCCTTTCTCTCTGCCTTTCAAATAAATGAAGAGATGATTTCTTCTGTGACTTGTACCATACAGAAAGATCTCATTTCTTTACTGACTACTCTCAGTGCACCTTGGGGGTGGAGCTGGCACGGCACACTGGGGATCAAACCCTGGCTGCTGCACTCAAACATTTTGCATATAAATGGCTATAAATAATATTTATCTACTTTCCTACCAGTGGTCTCTGATAGAGCATATCAAGAACATATTGGAAATTGTGTGTTCTCTCTATTCCCAACATTATTTGTTGAACTGGGCGCTGTGGTTCACACTTGTTATCTCAGCTACTTGAGAGGCTGAAACAGGAAACAAGTTCAAACCCAGCTTAACCAACCTAGTGATTTAGGGAGAATCTGTCTCAAAATAAAAACAAAAAAGTCTTGGGAATATCGCTCATTGTAAAGTACCAGCACTAAATCCTCAGCACTAAAAAAAAAAAAAAAAAAAAAAAAAAAAAA